ATTTATCTTGAGGTAGGTGAAGAAGCACAGCATATAGACAACCCTCTAAAAAGAAAGACTCACTGCTAGCCTCTCCTGCATCCTTAGCCTCCTATTGTATCGCCCCAAGGTGAGGCTGGTGTCAGTCCCTTAATACCCCACAGAAGGTCCATACCTCACTTGAGAACGGAGGTGGGAGTTGTTTGACACATATATTGTTCTGTGTCAGGGTCTCAGCAGAAATTCTAGCAGTCACGAACACAGAGTCCCTTTTAGTGTCCTGTCAGGGGCTGGAGAAGACTAGGGGCATCTTTGGAAGTTACCTAGAGGGTAGCCCAGTGTGAAAGGCCTGACTACCAGGGAATGGAATCCGGGCTTCGTGGTGTAGACAATGGGCTGGCAAGGTGTGTTTCTCTTTCCTTTCCACATGTAGGTAAGTGCAGCCCCGGTTCCTGGACTTGCCTTCACATCCACGGACCTGCCCTTTCCCAGGGTTAGCTGGGTTCAAAGGGCTCTCAGAATGTTTTCTTTAAAGGAAAAAGAGAGAGTGGCAAACGCGTGCCTAGGTGGGAGCAGGGAGTAGAAGGAGGCGGTTTAGACAGTAGTAAAGGGACATCAGACCAGCTACAAGCCAACAAGGAAAAAAAGTGACGTAAGGAAAAAAATCCCAGGGAGCAGAGAGAAAAGTAGACTCTCCAATGCCTCGCAGTAAATGAGGACGCCTGGCGCCTGCGGCGAGGTCAACTGAGGTCAGACGAGCTTATCGCTCCTGTCCCGGGAATTAAGGGCATCCTGGGGACAGCTGCAGAGCAGGAGGCTCCCCGTGCCCTCCTCTTCCTAAGCAAGTCAGGATCCCAGGAGGCGCGTGCGGGGAGGCCCCTCCGAAGGGCTGCTGGCTTGTGTTTTGCACCAGCGCAAAGGGAGGCTGTAGGTTGCTTCTGCAGTGAGGCAAGCTCAACCGGACGCCCAGAAGAGAGACGAGGCGCCGCTGTCGGGGTGTCTGCCTGCCTCTTTAGGATCAATTATTAGCGTACAGATCCTAAAACAAAACAAAACAACAAAACAAAAACATCGACTTGCATTAATGACAGGCCCCAAGTTCGGGACGCCAGGAGACGCCAGCGGGGCTGTGAAGTGCAAATCGCCCCGAGGCAACCCGCGAACGGGAGGGCTGTCACCAGCCCGCCCGGAGAGTGCGACGCCCGGGTCCGTTCCGGAGCAGGGAAACTTTCGCGGGAGGCTGCGCTGGCACCGGCCGCCTGGCGCGGCTCGCGCGGACCTGGGCGAGGGGACACGCAGCGCGGCACTGCCACCTTGTGGGCATCAGCGGCAGCGGCGCGGCGGGGCGAAGCCGGCTAGGCGAGCGACCCGCGGCTCGGAGCCCGACGCCGGCCAGCGCACGCCCGCAGGAACGCGCCGACCGAGCGAGAGCCCGCGGGGGCGGGGCGCGCGGCGCCGGTCACGTGGGTTAGCAACAGGCAGCAGCCAATGAGAACGCGAGTCAGGTGGTGCGTGCGCCCGCCGCGCGCGGGAGGTGAGGGGTCCGGGAGGAGGCGTGGGCGCGCCACGGGCTCGGTGGGGCCGCGGGTGGGGAAGTCCAAAAGGGTTGCTCTTCCCTGTCGGGAGCCGCCTGCCGCAGGCGGGATGAACAAGAGTTGTAAAATGGGACTGTCCCATTCCCACGCTCCACGGCTGTGACCCCTGTACGGGGCAGTGGGCGGCGGCGCGGGTAGGAAGCAGGCGGGAGCGACGCCGGGAGTCCGGTTTGTCCCTACTCCAGCCACTTGTTGCTTTGCCAAATCCTTGGGCCTTAGACTGCCATTTGGATCCACATAGGGGAATTAAAACAAAAAGATAATGAGGCTCCTGGCCGTGGTGGGGTGCGCATTGGCCCTCTTGCCCTGCATGTAGCAGGTGGAGGAGACAGGCTCCATCCTTAGAGCTTCCCAGAGCCCAAGGCTGGCACGAAGACACCAAAGCAGAGGACAGCCAGGAATTGGGTCAGAAAGAAAACGCTTCGTTGGTTTTAATTATTTTAAATAGAAAAGCCACATCCAAAAGTACCAATAATGACTTTTCCAGTAATCCCACCATGTTGACATAAAGCAGCCCACCCCTGAACGCAGAAGACTGTAGCACAACCTGTGAGAGGCGTTTTGAAGGACTGGGGCAAAACCAGAACTGACAGGGAGGCGTGGTTTCCATCAGGGTCTTACTCTTCTGGTTTCCTAGTTTGAGCAGATTTCACCCTGTTAATAGGGTCCGTGGATCGGTCTCTCTTTCTCTCTCTCTAGCGCTCTCTCTCTCTCTCTCTCTCTCTATTTCCATTTCCATCTCGTGTTTCATTCCTCTGAAACAAATCCAGAGAGCAGATGGCGTCAGAGGGTATCTAATCCATGCCCGACCTCGAGGCACTTCCTATAAGCTGTGATACCGTGGTAAGGTGTTATTATAGAGACAAAAATATCTCAGACTGCAGGATCTAGCCATCCTATTCTTAAAGTTCCCTAGGGAAAGATGTTGTACAATATTCTTTGATAACCTACCACAAATGCTAACCACTTTAAGTACAATATAAGAACGTTCTGATCCTAGGTTTTATTTGTTTCTGTTTAAACTCATTCAGGGTCAGGCTACCCCAGAGGGCAGTTGAACACCTGTCCGGTGGCTTATGGGAATGGCTTGCACGATATGCACTTCCCTCCATCAGGATCAGTGTGTCTGCTGACACTGGGGACCATGCCTGACACACAGGTACAATTGGGCTCTGCCAGGCAGCTCAGAGAAAGTGATCCACTCTGAGTTAGACTCTGCCGGCTGAGTAACTTGCTTCCTTTTTTTTTTTTTTTTTTTGAAAGGGAGTTTCGCTCTTTTTGTCCAGGTTGGAGTGCAATGGTGCAATCTTGGCTCACTGCAACCTCCGCCTCCCAGGTTCAAGCGATTCCCCTGCCTTCAGCCTCCCGAGTAGCTGGGATTACAGGTGCCCACCAGCACACCCAGCTAATTTTGTATTTTTACTAGAGACGGAGTTTCACCATGTTAGCCAGGCTGGTCTTGAACTCCTGACCTCCAGTAATCCACCTACCTCGGCCTCCCAAAGTGCTGGGATTACAGGCATGAGCCACCACACCCAGCCACTTGCTGCTTTTAGAGAGCAGGCTTTGTGCACTTACCAGTATTGAAATACACTACCATACTTAATGGTTATGCTTCTACAAATTTGATATATATTTGATTTTTAAATGTACCATACTCTTGAGTTCCTGACCAGTACACTGTTTGAAGGATGTCATGAGGACGTGCATTTAAAAGTCTGAATCCACAAAAATGTATTGTGCTCTAAGTGCCAGGCCTGGGCTTAGATACTGGGGATACAGCATTGCAGGAGGAAATTTGCAGAATGAAATGGAACCTTGAAGAAAGCAAATGAAAATAAATCACCCTGTTTCCATAGTCACCTCCCCCACACTAGTGACTATTCTCTCTTAATCGGCTCCCTCAAACTCCTGCCTCTAGGATCTTCATTCTCTCTGACTTCTTTGATCATGAAGCAGTAAGATCACCATATGTTGGATATTGTTAAATAACATGATATGTTGGGAAAAGTCATGCACTAGGAATGGAAAATACCGTACAGCTAGCTTCAGCCCTGGCTCTGCCACTTGACAGAATCCATAACTTTCTACAAAACTTTAAGATCTGAATTTTGGTATCTTAGTTTCCTGATCCCTAGAATGGAATAAAGAGTCTTAGTTGGCAACTCCACAGGTTCAAGATTCCAGGCCTCAGTTTTCTCGTCTGTAAATTGAGGGGTTTGACCTAGATTTACAGCTTGCAAATTTTCCTTAGAAGTGGATTCCCCATTTATAACAAAATCCAACATAAAACCCCAACATGTAAAACAGATAGAGACAGACTTGCTTTAATGGCCCTGAGGGAGAAGGCTCTGAGTCCTATATACTCTCTTCTCCTACCTTTTAAAGGCCTTGAGGCATCTGTGCAGAACTCTGGGGTTTCACTGAACACAGTTTGAAACTCACTGTGCTAGGGATTGTTTTAAAGTACCTTCCATTCCTAAAATCAAAATCTCCTAACATTGTATATTTCTATGATGAGATTTAACCCGTTTTCTTTCCTCATTTATTTAATTATATTATAGGAGACAGTCACAAGCTAAAACAAAAATATCTTTCATTACTCCCTCCCTATTTGTAAAGCCAATCTCTCTGCTACAGCGGGGGCGGGGGAAGATTTTGATGGAACACATATGGCGTAATGAGAAAAACACCACAATGGGGATGAGAAGACATTAGTTCTAACCCTGGTCCTGCTTTTAACTGGTTCTATAACCAGTTAGTTTGATCAAGGAATCTTATTAACCTATCTAAATCCAGAAAATTAAGAGGTTGGGTGACTTAGTAACCACAGTCATGCACATGAACATTGCGGGAGCCTGTGCCCTCGTGGGTTTCCTTAAATAACTCAATTCCTACTCAACCTACAGGCTGACTTACTTTATCACCCTTTCTTTAATATATATATCCTCACTCCAGAGGGAGTGAAGGGTGAGAAGACAAATTAGGTTGTAAGTGACACCACCAGGACATCAAAATAGAAATATCAACTCAGTCATTGTTGTGTTTGCACAGATGGTTCAAGCCCACAGCACGCCTTGACCCCAGCTCCCCAAGCAGGAGGCACATCTACTTTAAGACAGGGTTCATGCAGTATACACATTCATAAGGGCAAACTACGAAATCTTAAAAACCCCAGAATTTGGAGAATGTTTAAAGGAAACCGTCTGGGTTAAGGACCCAGGACCTGGGGTTGAACCAAACGGAGTGACCCCACAAAGGACAAACAGTATGATTCATTGCCTCCGAGTAAACACATCCTGGGAAAAGGCAACTTTAGGGGTGGATGCAAGAACAACAGCTCTGGTCATGGCTGTGACTTGGTTATAAGTTAACTTTATGGGTCACTGAGTGTCTGGAAACAGACTATAAAAAGAAGAAAGGATGGCCCAAGCAGCTTTGTGTTGGAAATGGCTGTGACCAGTTGCTTCTGGAAGGGAGATGTATTGACTGCAATAAAACTTGATAGGCTCAGCACTTGTCTGTTAAGGCTAGGATCGGAAGTCAACTTTGGACCTGAGTAATTGGTATAAATTTGTGTTTAAGGGCAGGACAGAAGGGATTTTACTCCAAGTGGTAAACAATATGGTGTCCAACTGCTGCATATGATCTGCCTTCTCTCTGACCTCTAATCCCACGAGACTATCTGCACCATCGGGGTAATCCTAGTATCCAAGTAAGTGGATACACTTTCACTTTCACCATACTGGTTTTTTTTTTTCTTTTTTTTTTTCCTTAAACTTTGCTGCTCTTGGCAATAGCAGAACATTTAAGGTAAAAATAAATAAACACATCATAGATACTTGCTATTCTTAACTATGTCTGTTCTTGGGAAAACAAATGGTACACAATGTTAACTTCTAGCTAATCATCATCCCTAACTTTAGTGTCATTTGGTTAGCCGACAATTATTTATTAAGCACACACTTGCACATATCCAGTGTTACAGAGTCCAAAGTTGTAGGCAATAAATATAAAACAAGATGATGCCAGAAATGCTTCAAAAAATACACATCATGTTTTATACTTAATTATTTTTCAAGCGTGGTGGCGGGAAGTGGCGCAGGGGGGTGCATTGTAAGTTACACTCAGAGTATGATGTAGAAAAGCCTTGAGCTGAGTTTCAGAGGCCAAGAAGCTCATTTTAAATATCATTATCTATAGCTGTGTGGCAGCTGAACAGAACATCACATTTCTGAGGCTCAGTTTTTTCATGTGAAAAACAAAGGAGGTCGAACTAGGTCATAGTCCATATCACAAAGCTTAACAATGACAGTAGCCAATATTTTTTGAGACAAGCACTTTGCTTTATCAGTTACTCCTCATAAGAACCCTATGATATATGCATTACTATTTCCCCCATTTTTCAGATAAGGAAACTGGGTTTTGAAACTTAACCAAGGTCACACAGTGAGTAAGTGGCAAATCTGACATTGAAGCTAGTCTTTCCCAGCTCCCAAGTTGCGCCCAACTGTTTCACAATACTGAACTGCCTCAGAGTTTATCTAGGAAGAAGATAAGATTTTTTTTTTTTTTTTTACTTATTCAGATTTTCACCTTGACTCCCTTAGAGCTGCAGATAGAAGTCATCCCTCCATTGGCTACCACGATGTGATCTTCAGAGACTCTCTTAAACGTGGATGGATGCTGCAGGAAAACAAGGTAGAAACGGCTACTCGGGGAGAAAGGAGGTAGCTTCAGGAAACATTGTGCCCACTCCTATGAGGATTGAGTAGGAGACTAGACTTTTGCTTAGGGAGTGTGCCCCAGAATTCTACATCTACAAGGAAATGAGCACCCAGAAATGACAGGTAGGAGGGAAAAGGGGAAACCAATGATGCCTGGCGAAGACCTTTCTGTCACTTCTTCTCACAGACCCCTTAGACCAAGCCTGGCTTCTGAATTTCCCATAGCTGTTCAATCAACACAGGGCCAGGTATGTACCTGAGTATAGCTAGGAAATAGCAGCTGAACCCTGCTTAGGAAGCTGGGGTGTCCAGTGGATGACATGGCCCGATTTCATTTCTGGTCCCCCACACCTGAGGTCACTGCTGCTGCATGGATGCCGGCAGAGTGCTCACGAGCTCCAACAGACAAAACACTACGTAGGGCTTACGTGCTGAGTGATCAAAGACTCGGAGCCTCCGGAATGAAAGGATCCCATTAATGCAGATAGGATCTAAAGATAGTATCTGCATAGATACTCTGTAGTCCATAGTCCTAAAGGAATGTTTTGGCTTCCACAAAAAAATAGCACTTTATACTGAGAGGGACAATGGAGCCAAAGACAGATTACACAGAGTCCCTGCTCTTGGAAAAACTCACTATCTCTTGGGGTATACCAGGGCACCCCTTTGGGACTGCTTGGGTTAGTCTAGTTATCCCAAGATAAGAAAAAAAGTACACGAGAGATACGTATTAGTGTTTTATAAAAATACACAAGTTATTGACATGTACTTAAGGGATTAAATAGAAAATAATCAGTTGAGGAATGACAACTTCAAGAAATTTCACATTTTGTCTTGAAAATACTGGAGATGTTGGCTGGGCGTGGTGGCTCACGCCTCTAATCCCGGCACTTTGGGAGGCCGAGGCGGGTAGATCACCTGAGGTCAGGAGTTTGAGACCAGCCTGGCCAACATGGTGAAACCCCACCTCTATGAAAAACACAAAAATTAGCTGGGCATGGTGGCACATGCCTGTAGTCCCAGCTGCTAGGAAGGCTGAGGTGGGAGGAATGCTTGAACCGGGGAGGCGGAGGTTGCCACTGCACTTCAGCCTGGGTGACACAGACTATATCTCAAAAAAAAGAAAGGAAAAGAAAATACTGGAGCTGTCAGGAACAATAAAAATAATCTTACCCGTTATCAAGAAAAAGGAAGTGATTATGCATATTCTCAAAAATAACAGTCAGAAGAGTTAATTCTCCATGTCTGCTCTATATTAGATCAATCTTGAATCTGTATTTCACATGTAAATTACACTTCCTCCAATACATTCAATTTTACAGATGTAGACGTACTCCTCTTCCAATCTATTTTTAATTGCTTGAAAACTGCCCCACATTTTGCTGACCACACATAGATACTATGAACCCCTTTGTCAGCTCCCTGAGGTTACCATCACCATTTGGGGACTCCCGCTTGAGGAATGAGTGACTGCTCCAGTGGAAAGAGGTCTTAGACCAATAATTGAGTCTAGCTCTGCCTCTAACTAGATGTGAACTTACAGACAAATTACATGGCCTCTCTAGTTCTGCATACAGTAAAGGAGCAAAATTAGATTTCTTTTAGCTCTAAAATTCTGTCCTTGCCTAACTCTGATGAGCAAAATCAAGGGTTCCTTCTGCATGAAAACACTGGGCCTACTGGGAGGAATGGTAAAAGGACTCTGGGGACTGGAGATGGAGCCAGAGACTCTGGAATGAAGCACACAAACTAATGCCAGGGACAAGGACTACCCCCCAGTTCCCAGGAAACTCCCTGGATGGATTTCAGACAGAAGGAGACATTCTGGTTTTATCCTGGAGCACACATTGGGGACTGAGACCGTTGGACACTTCGGGGTGAGACATTGGATAGACCTGTTTGTTGTCCTCTGAGTCAGCCAAGGATACTTTCATCCAGAGAGAGGATAGTTGTTTTTTTCTTATTTGTTCATTTTTTAATTCAGGAAGAGTGAGACTACCCTTTGAAGAGCTCAATAAAGAAAGACACAAATGGTGAAAAAATACCCATCTCCCATCCCAGTGGCAGTAGAAGCTACTTGCTGGATTCTTGCACTCCCATTGGCTGTGATAGAAGCAGAGAGTCAACATGTGCGCCAACAGCAATGTCTGATCCCTTGGAAGGTCTGTGTTGAGAAGTAAGGTAGTAGCAGCAACAGAAGCACTGCAACCAAAGAGATGGACCCAAGAAAATTTTCACAGTTTCAAAGGCAACATAGGAGTCCTCAAATCCCAGCTACAGCAAGAGAGGAGATTTGGAGGAGAGGAAAGAGGGGTGCCAGTGACTTGGTGCATGGATGATTCACGCCAATGCTTGTTCTCATTCCCCCTATAATTACTATTTGTGATTCACCTTCCCTGGGTTCCTGGGGCCTGGTAAAGAAGGGTTTTTTGCTAAAGCCAGCATATCCTCCAGCCACCCACTGGCAGGGCTTTGTCATCCACTGTTGCACTTCCAGCCTGATATTGACATCTCTTCCACCTTCTATGACTTGCCTCTGATTTGAACATCCAAGGGAGAAAATTTTTTCTTCCAATTTGAACATGGGCGTCAAGGTGGCTAGAGCCAATTTTGTTCCCATCACCTGAAGAAAATACCAGGACTTGTAGCCTTTCTATGCCTATATGACAGATCCATGTACTCAGCAGCTGAAGTGTACCAGGAAATGAGGAATCACTTAAATTCACCCAAAAAAGCACTTTGTGCTATTTCTAGCAGGCTCTCTCTTCTTGCAGCTTGCTAGTTACTTTGGTATTACTTCGTGTGTTTGTAATGACAACATTTCACAAGGGGCGAGAATTTCCACTCTCCATTATTTATTTTATACACGTCACCCCCTTTCATTTTCAACGCAACCAGGCAACATAGCATTATCTTAGTTTTACAAAAGTGGAAACTAAGGCCCTGGGAGGTAAAGTGCCTTCCTTAAGCAGGAGAGCTGACAACTACAGCAAGTTCTCCTGATTCCAGGGCCTGTGGTCTCCTTCCACCCCACAGTAGGCAAGAAACCAAGTGACCAAGAAGAAGGCTCAGGAGCCGGGCTGCAGACAAAGGGATGGCAAGTGCAGGCAGTTTACCGCAGCGTCGGAGAGCGAGGAGTTGGTGTGTAATGACTTGCCATGTGGACAGACAGGCTAAAACAAGGACATTCTTTGTATCTGAGCATCCTTTATGTATGAAACATAAACGAGGCAGGTACAGAGCTGTTTCTTAGGAAATCCCATCCTGCCCCTGTGGGCTTTCTTTATCTTCTCATCTTATCCTCATAATGTTCGCTCCTTGGAGTCTTCCTGTCCACCAGCGCCTGCCTCATTTAATCCTGGAGCTAACGGGAGCCCAGAAGGATCCTGACAGTGCCAGGGGACAAGAAGGAAAAGAGAGAAGGGCAAAGCCACAGCACTCCAGAAGACCCAAGCCCTCTCCCTGTGTGAGGCTCCCACACGGCGCTCGGGCCCTGCTTCTCTTCTCACCACTCAGCCCCCAGTGGCTACATCTTCATGGGGAAAGATGAAGGAGCCTTGCTAAGTTACATGTTCTTCTCAAGTGCTGGCTTTCTGCATGCCATCCCTGTGAAACAGGAACTTTCTAGAATGTGTCTCATTATCACTAATGGTGAAGTGCTCAGAAAAACGTTCAGAAGGAGGGGGTGCTTTTTTACTGGAGCAGGAGGGCAGGGAACTAGCTGCAAGGCTGTTCACTCCAGGCAAGAGACAAAACCCTGGAAAGAAACCAGAAGCTGGGTGAGTGAGGAATCAGGAGGCTTGCATGAGCTGAAGAGAAGGAAGGACAGTGTGTGCGCATATGTGTGCACGTGCGTCTGTGTGTATGTGAATCTCTATGTGTGTCTGTGTATGTCTGCATGTATGTCTGTTTATGTGTGTCTTTCTGTGTATGAGTCTGTGTGTATGTGTCTGTGTGTTTCCCTCTGTGTATATGTGTGTGTGTATCTGTGTGTCTGTGTTTCTGTGTGTCTGTCTATGTGTTTCTGCATGTCTGTGTGTCTGCATATCTGTATGTGTGTGTGTGTCTGTGCACAAAGACACATAAACTCTGGACGACAGGGACAGTGGAGCGGCAATGGTAAGGGCTAACGGGAGATGATCAAGGCTGAGAAATGCTCTGAGCTGAAGGTTGGCTTTCAAAAATTCACAAAATGCTTGAAAATTCGAACTGGAATGCTGCTCCTGCCACCTGACTGCATGCCTGACACCCCAGGCCCCACAGCTCGGAGCTCCTCTCAGCAAGGGGCCCCGCAGCACCCCACAGAGATTCCCACTCAGCTGCCTGTTCAGAGGACTCCTCTGGTCTCTGCCAGTTTCCTGTGAGATGATTGCACATCCTGAGACCCCACTGCTTCATCAGCGACATGGGAATAATACCAATACCCACTGCACAGGACTGGAGTGAAAAACGAATGTGTGAACACAGGAGAAAGCACAGTGCCAGACACATGGGAGGGGATCATATGTTTTGGTTTCTGAACACCGAGTGGGTGACAGCCATGTGGCAAGAGGAGGCAAGCGTGGAGTTGGGGGCCAGACAGACTCTGCATCAAGACCTGGTTCTCACCTTTCTCACTGTTTGGCCTTGCGCAAGCCCCTGAACCTCTCTGGACCTCAGTTCCAGCCTTCCTTCCACCACGGCTCCATTATGAACCCCACCTCCAGCTCCAGGACTAATCCACTGCAAAACCCAGCCCTCTTGCCCAGGGAGATAGGGAGAAGCCGCCAGCCAGACGGGAGAACACAGGTCCAGAATTGAACTCATGACCTCAGCTCGTCTTGCCAATGTGAAGCATGTGACTTCAGTTTGCAGGTCAGAAGAGTGAAGCTGTCCATGCTGACTGGACATGAACAAGGAGGCTGCCATCCTGTGAACAGTCCCCTACGTGGCTGGTAGCCATTTTGTGATAATGTTGGAAGCCAGGCTTGGGGT